TTTGAACAGTAGCAACGTGGTACGATATATTTCAGACTCGTATAGTGCACATCTCAATCAGAGTGTGGACAAAATTAATACATTTTAAATACCGTGTCGGGAAAGCTATTAAACTGAAGAATTTGACAAACATAGAACCTACACTTTACATTTTGTAGCAAACAAGCAAGCTACGATAACAATTACAAAAACCATGTAGGGACCTCGTTTGTTTGGTATGCCAAAAGTTATTTCTTTCAAGTAAGACTGGTGTTTTAAGACACTTTAGAACAGGTGAAAATTAGACCTATCCTAGTTGTTGTTACCAGCCAATGCTTTTTATAGTCACAAAGTATATATATTCGTGTTTAAACCTATCTAAAAGTACTGTCTGTAGCTTTCGCGAGTAGTACATTTAAATAAAACACTGTTAAGCGGCTGCTGCATAGCAGTGGTCAGGGGAGACGTCGGGCCGTAGTTATAATAATTTTTAAGTTTAACATTTCGCGTTTAAACCGTTAAGAGTGTTTTATTTAAATATTGAAGTGTTTAATTTGAACCTATGTAAACGGGACAATGATGTCGCGCAAAGTACCATGAACTGAAATAGCGTTGTATTACAGTTACGGGACCCCGTTATTTTGTCAACAAACGCCTGAAGCGGACGGGTGTGAATGTTTGCTATACATCTTCACTTGTGACATGAATTTTTATCGTGACTATTCACTTATACATCATTTATTGCTATCTTTAAGAGCGGGAATCAAAGAACTTTAGTTTGAACCTCTGTGTAGAAGTTCAGTTCAGTTTTTTTAAGGCAATAGAGACCAAACAAGCAAGGGGTGAACTTAAGAGCTTAAGACAGTCCCCCGTGACCACGGCTACAACAAAGCGTCAGTAAAGATGGTAGTAGTTAAAAAGATGTAATTAAAAATCGAAAACAAATTGAAAAATTGTTCGACTCGGCCAGGACTTGAACCGGCATCGTCAGCGTTCCGTGTTGTTTATTTTCGATTTTTATTCATCTGCAATAACATGTAAAAAATAATAAAGTTTTCAAAGATGTAATTAGTTCCCTAATATATTTCGAGTTTTATACCGTTTAATTTGTTTAATGGTGTACTACTCGCGTCAACTATATATTGTAGGAAAAGTTTAATTAATTAAACACGTAAAAACTACTTAAAAGTTACACGTAAAAGTTCACATCTTATTCTATGTCTTTTCTTTTACAGTGACGTCACATTATGTGGGTTTGATTCTTGCCTCTGTTTCTCATTTAATGTAAAAATATGTAAACTACCTCAGCGTTTTAACGTATTTACGATGACGTGACGTAAGCGTCGAAGGTAAGCCGAATCACATCTGCTTCCGACTAAAAAATACGGACGATCCACGTATAAAAAGCCAAGAACCACAATGAAGACTGTACGTAATAAATCTTACTGATATCTCCATCGGGATCCGACATCAAACGGCTTCTGTTCCGACGATTGTAAAATACATCAAACGTCCGTCTGTCCTACTTTTCATGGGGATGTGCAATTTGACCTCTTATTATTATATAGCGGCATATTGCGTTGTTATCTTGACGGTATATTTGACGTCACCCCTGTACAAGTGATTCGCTTAAAGCTATGTACAGATGGCGCTAGCGTAGCAGTTTTGACTTTGATATAAGGGACACGCTCCCTCCACCCCCGTGATCTTAAAAAAATTACAGCTTGCTAAAGTTATTTCTTTATTTTGTAAATAGCGCAATTTCATCAAAATATACCTAATGAATGATTTAAACTACGCTTTACTAGGCTTTATAAAATTGTGGATATATGACACAGCCACATACAGTACAACTTTTTTAATAAAATTGCTTTCTACAATTATTTAATGTCAACAGAGTATTCTTTAGGATTCACGCGAGCACTTAACTTGACAGCTTAACAAATAATATTCTTCTTTTTTTTTACTTTTAAAATACATTGAGTATAGTTTAGTTATTAAGATTTATATCCTTTAACTGGTTAAATAAACGACTACATTATTCAACGTAAACAACCTCCTTATTAAATTAAAATTGTAATAAAAAGAAAACATCGTGCTGGCACATTAATCACTCAGTATGCGTGTTTATTTATAAATCGTAACAAGCCAAAACGGGTGATAGAACTTCTTTGATCCTTAATGTATTTATTTTGAATGAACAAAGATCGTTACTTATTAATCCAACTGTTATTGAGGTATTAAACATTGAAGAAATAAAAAAGGTACTTTTTACTCGTAATGCAAACAACACGCTTTTACTAAACTATTTGATTTGTAACTACCCCCCAAAAGAAGTATTCAAATGTATGATAAAAGATATAATGTTAATGTAGACAAAATTATATATAACCTAAGCAAAGCAAATGTTAAACTCATTGTGGTGAGTAAAAATATATCAACAAAGTTTCTGCCTCAATAAAGTTTACACTTTCTCTGATGTTAAGTTTTATGATTAGGTAATTAATATTTAAAAACTTACGAAATAAACTATCATCCAGTCATAACACTGCACTATAACATCGCACTTTGAACTAGTATGAAAGCAAGGGACTATACGACTCGCCGTCATACACACTCGCGTAAACGTTTGGACCGTGGAGAAGTACCGGGCGCTACTGAACAGCTTACAGTGCTCGTGTCCCATCTGCCAAAACTACGTCATGGACTTGCACCAATATAGGCTAATGTATGGCAAGCGCTTGGTTTATACTTCGTTATAGATTAAAAATTACATATGTAACTTTTTTTTAACAAGCAAAATCCTGTTCTTATTAAATTAAAAATATTCTTCTGAAAGTCCACAGACGGTTAAAAATTACAACATCTAAACACATACATATTAATGTTTAAATATTTATTGGTTATCTATAATTTACTATACTCTATAACATACAAACTTAACTTTTTTTAATTTTATTAAAAGGTAGATACAACATAAAAATACAGATTACATATTTTCGTTGCAATAAAATAATAAATGACACAGATAAAAATAATCTCAAATCTGTTTTTTTTTATTATATTGGTCTACTTATTTGGGGTACGGTACCCAAAAACGGCATTGCTTAGACTTAGCTATCTGGCTGTTCGTCTACCTTATCTATATCTTAACAATTCTAATAGGGTGTTATAGACAAAAATCACTGTCTTTTTTTTAATAATAAAAAATATACACCCTGCGCAATAAGGTTCACGCTTGCTTGGTCTTTGAAACACTAACAAGCTCTTTGAAAACTATGTTATCTGTCACTCGCAGGTGGCTAAAAGGATGGATGGAGGTGTTAAATCATTTACAATGATAAACCGCGACATTTCAGCTCAACTAGACAAAGAGGTGTTCACAGAAACGGCGTTCAGAGAATTACATTTTCGGTTATATTAATTGCGTTCGAATTCGCGAAAACGCCAGTTACGCTGTTGGCAGCGTCTTTGCTCACTCTGTGGTTAAGGATAAGGATGTTTAAGCTTTGAAAATAGCTATTTTGTAAATACTAAATATTTGCATTGCAAAACTAGATGCTTCGAATTTGATTATTATATACCTACTTCAATTTAAGGGTTCCGTATCTAACGGAACTATATTACCAAGACCTAGCCGTCTATCACGAGGCAAATGTATCTCAAACCCCAAGAGAGCTGAAATTTTTACATATTTTGTATTTTTATCGGCACTGTAACCAAATAGGTAATATACTAAATAAAAATAGAATATATAAGAGGATTAATTTCCAGCGCCAGAGCCATTTCATATGAAAACGAAACTAAATTTTATAAATTTATTAAGCTTTTGAGCACAGTATAAAAATTTAGTCATTCCATATTCAAAGAAATACGTAATAGGGATAAGTAGCGCGTGTCACGGTGAGGATATAAAATTCGATGAAAACTCAAAAGAAAATCTGTGTTAGAGCTTTCTGGGAAATTTTACGACTCTTATTTATTTTTATTCGTGCGTAGTTTGCTTTAAAATACAACAAATAATGCGTGAGAGTACCTACAAAACTCATCTGAACTTCAATTGCAACATCGCGTTTGAAATGTTAAGGTATTCTGGGATACGTAGTAAGCATTTACGCATACATTAGATATTTTAAAACCAAAAAATCTTTAGTTTCTTAAGAATTAGAAGTTTAGTTATTATAAGTATGAGACAAATAAATTATTTTGATTCGATATAAAATTTTAGGTTTGGCGGGCTTTTTGTCCAATGTCAGCTAAGTAGGTGATCGACGAGTCGCTGGTTCGATTTCCAACGGGACCAACATGTACCTAAAATTGGCTTTTTTTTTAAACATGCTAAGCTTTCTCTTGAAAATTTGGGTGAAAGGAATATGAAAAGTCTACCCGCAGAAGGAAAAGCTTTTAATGTTACTTTGCAGTCGGATATCGGATTTCCAAATGTATAAAGCCAAAATAGCTCCTTATTAAAATGTATCCTATCTTATTTCTGCTAATATTTATTTGTGTTAAATTAAGTTCAAGATAGATTTTGTTATTTACACAAAAATTACAGACATAGTTAAGAATATACTATGTAACCTATGTACAAAAATCGGCTTTCGCAACTGTGAAGGCCGACAATTTTTGTTTATTTTACATAGGATCTGTATCTATATAGACATAAATAAAATGGTTTTCATACAGACGATAAGTTAAACAAATAATTAAGAGCATTGTCACAAGGAAAGGGTATAAGGAAACAATAATTCTTGAAACGCCTCCCACCTTATCCCTGGTAATGCAAGTGAGATGATTATGAGTGAGATACAGTCTTTGTGTCTCAAAGATCTCGCCTTCAATGTCGAATATTATACTATAATACTTAATTTTGATTTATAATTAAACATTAAGGAATAATAATAATTAATAATTAAAAGTAGGTCTATTATATTGTACAATTATAAAACTTACAAGCAAATATTATGTTTTACGATCAAGGACGGGAATCATTATATGTTTCGCTTATTTTCGGTTTAAAATGTGAATTATATTAGTTAACTCATTTACACTGTATTTTAACTACGGCTCGAAGCTTTATAAATTGTAAATAATTTATTTGTAATGTGTTAGGTAACACATCTCACGTTTAATGCCATTAAAAGTGTTTTATTCAAATGTGTACTACTTGCGTCAACAACATACAATTACTTGGTTATGCATTTGATTGAGTTGAGGAACATAGTTCTTTGGGACGGGCAGGGCACAGAAATGTGCAATAAAAATTGATCAGCTCCATGCCCCGCAAGGGGTTTTTTTGTTATATTGTAATCTCTCGAATTCCTCATTTAATTGGACTACTGGACTAATTGGACCTCGTCGAAAATCACTAACATATTCTCTATTATCATAATCATAGTATTATTTGTTTATCAAAGTTTACAAATTCCTTCGACGTTACAACGTATTAAAAATTACTATTGTTGATTGCAATGCACTATTTCGGCAAATACTTAAAGAGCAGAGTGGCGCAGTGGAAGCGTGCTGGGCCCATAACCCAGAGGTCCGTGGATCGAAACCACGCTCTGCTAAAACTTTTTTATTTTTTCTGTTCTTGCTTTCTCCTGTTTTAACAATTTTAACAATTGCCTTTAATAGTTAACATTATAGAACAATAAACCCTTTTTTGCAATTAACAAATTTAATGCCATATAATACAAACTGAAGGAGACACGTGCGTCGTAGTATATGGTTCAAAGTCACCATCCTTTATCCGCAGCGCCGTATTAACAATGTCACAAGGAAGATCTTTCGTTTGTTATTACACTTAACAGCTGATCAGCGAGGTGTCATATGCACAATCACAATGCATTGGCGGGAAGCCAGAAAAGCTTCAAACCAGACACAAAGACATTGTCTTCCTTTCATACATACAAGCAAACAATTTATTGAAGTGTTTTATTGGAATGAAAACGGCGCATTCACATGAAACTATGAAAAAAATATATTTAAGTCATAATCGTTTAAAACCAGCCCCCAGAAAACAACAATATCAAGCCTTCGTTAATAAAATTTTATTGTTACAGAATTAAATAAATTTTATTAAAAAGTATAGGAATCCCATAATTTCACGATATTACGATTTAAGTATACATTACCAGATCCTTACAAAAATTAATACAAATATAAAAGCATAAATAAAATAATTTGTAACCCTTTAACTTTACATTTGAAATGTTAGCTTCGTAATATAAGTATTCCTTCTTCCTTTAGTACAACCGTTCGCCATCGTACGGAGCTCCGTCGAGCTCTGGTTGCCTGGTACCCTCGGGCGGTAGACCCCAACGAGGCCGGCAGCCATTGTGGGCGTAGTAACGAGGAATACGGTCATCTCTTATCATCTCGTACGCGACACGGGCTGTACTGTACTGGTATTCACTGAGACCGGTCTTGAAGAGACAGGGACGCACGTAGCCGAGGACTGGAAAAATGGGGCTGAATTAAATTAAATAATGTCTAAATAAAACACTTTAACGGTTTAAAACGCGATGTATATTAAGTTTAAACTTATATGAAAATATTTTTAATTCCGGCCCGACGTTTCGGATGCTTTGCAGCAGCTATCGCGTTTTAAACGGTTAAAGTGTTTTATTTTAATGAATTAAATATTTTAAGCACTTGGCTCGCTTAAACAAACACAAATAATTGTCCGCCTCATTTAAAATACGTAAAAGATCGTTTTTTACGTACAATTACAATATGCGGCATCACATTCTTGTGTCCGTTTGATCGATTTCATTCACAAGACTGAAAGAGTTTATTTTATACTGGAGATTCAAAATCAGGTGGTTACTAACTTGATATTCGCCAAAGAATTTAATTCATTGCTATTTTTATTTAATGTTTCTTAGTATTTAATTTATAAATTAGCTTTGAATGAATATTAGGAATGATTTTACTAATTCTCTACCAGCTCTAAGTAAATTGTGATGTATTTGGCATGTGCACATCATATCACTATAATTCGTTGGTTATTATAAATACATCAGAATTTACCATTGGACGAGCGTGCATTGTTAAATTGTCGGCATAGCGACGAAAAACATGCTTACCTAGTGTTGACGCGTCCGCGCATACAGAATGCAAAACAATCGACAAATATCATTAACGTATAACAGCATAATGTTATCCATACTATTTTTAAAATTATTTTTTCTACTACTGGTTCATTTTTACCTAATAATAATCAATAGGTCGTGTAATCGATCATTGCCGGTTCCAAAGCAATCTTTCTAATCAATTTATAATGTTCTAAAGCATGTTGGACTTCCACTGGAAGTCTGGATACTAAATTGTGGAGTAGGTGTAGCTACCCTCACATATGAAAAAGCCATAAAGTTTAATATTGTTTTGGTTAGGTCAGTTTTTGCATATTTGAAGCCAAAAAAGGTCGACAGTGCATCTTACTTAGATGTTATACGTTTACGGTATTCACCTCCCATCGGGTAAGCCCCATGTATGTTTGTCCTCCTTATCATATAAAAAAGTTTGTCGTTAGTCAACCATTCTACGTGATTTTCAGCGGTCAGTACAAGGACAAAGAGTAACACAGGTTGATTTGGGTCTTAACAATTTCAAGGTACGCAGAAATACTATTTAAGTTTTCCCAACTAAAGGGCTTAGTAAAGAACTTGCTCCGTCAAAGAGTGAGCCAGCATGGGCGTGACAGAGAAAATTAATAGATATTTTAATTTGATATAATAGTTAAACCTTTAAGAGCCTAACTCATCCCCAAACAATAAAAAGAACTGAGAACTAACTTCTAAAATGTGTGTTCAAAGGCTCGAGCGTCGGTTTATTCATATCCCGTTCGTAGAGGTCCTTGGCGACCTTCATCAACTCGGTGTCTTTGATGTCCAGCTTAGGAGGCGGTGGAGCTGGCGCTTCTTCTGTTACTTTGTCTTCTTCGGGTTTGCATGAACGACGCCTTTTTTCACGCGGTTTGAATGGACGAGTCTTGAATTCTAGTGCATAAGAAGTCACAATTGCTAAAAGTAACGAGTTTAAATAAAACCATTTTTAACGGTTCAAAACTCGAAGTAATCAGTGAATATTTTTACTACGACTAAACGTTGGGGATACTTTATAGCAGCAACAATGGAACTAAAGATGGAGGGTGTCCCAAAGTCGAATCTGCTACGCTAGCGTCATCTGTTTCGTAGTAATTTATGTTTCTAGACCTCCAATTGATATATTATATATTTCTCGTATTAAACGGATAAATATTTATTTAAATATTTACTACTAGCGTAAACTACAAGCAATGCTAAAGGTACTTGGCTCCAGCTGCGCTGTACATATGTCTTAATAATGCTACATAAGTTCGTGATGGCAAAACGTCTAATACTATTTCTGAACTACGACGAACAAACCACTCACAGCAGCAAAATAGCTGCAAAAGCCTTAAAGAAGACTGTTTATGACCAATTATTTGATTATAATCTCTAATGAAGTAAAGTAAATCTTGAATAAATATAATCCCTTGTAATACAAAGGTACAATAATTCAAACCCGACCGCTTGGAAGAGCAATTAATCAAGGGTTAATCACGGTTTAAATAAAGCTTTTTGACGAGTAAACGAACAATAAACGATCGGCAATGCGGAAGTTTATTGTCACGAAGATGTTTTAATGCCAAGTTTATTCGTTCAGTTGAATACCATTTTCTTACTTACTAACAAATGTAATTATTTATAATCCATGTTAATATAGTAAACTAGCAGACCCGACTTCGTCCGCGTCCCGTCGTTATTGCAAATTAATCAGGAAGATAGACATCTTTAGCTATAGAGAGAAGTGACACCGGTAGACGCGTGGGGGGGGGGATAACTGACGAAGTAATAATTGATCAGTTATCGAGTGCGAAGGAGAATTATTAAATGATTATAACAGCAATGAAAAAATATGGGATTAAGGGTGAAAATTTAGGGTGATATGTATTGTAGGTACATACCATATTATGAAAAAGTTAATAAATTGTCGAAAAAATAAATTGTTAGGGTTGGATAACCTTTTATCCCCTAGGGCTATGAAACTAGTAGTACTAAAAAAATAGTAACTTTTTCTCATAACTACTTTTTGATTATATTTTGGTAGGTGAATGAACCTCCATCAAATCTCTCTCAATCAAAATTAAGCCGTTTGGGAGGAGTAGGATAACTAATACTAGAGTATAGTGACTCGAGAATTTTATATATTAATGGCGTTAGTACAGACTTTCGCTTTTGATAATCTATATTAATATATAAAGCTGAAGAGTTTGTTTGTTTGTTTGAACGCGCTAATCTCAGGAACTAAGGGTTTGAATAAAAAAAATTTTTTCGTGTTGGTTGGGGTTTTTCCCGAAGGGGGCTAAGAAACCGCCCCGGGGGACTAACAAAAGGGGAGGAGGGGGGGGGGGGGGGGAAAAAGGGGGGGTTTTTTTTTTTTTGGGGGGGGGGGTGTGGGGGGGGGCCCCCGCAAAAGATACCCAAAAATATATTTTCAGAAAGGGGTTTGGAAAAGTTTTGGTGCCCGTTTCGCGGAGCACTCTAATCTTTCTTTCGTTCTGTTGGCTATTTCTTACCTTGGGAGAGATGTGCGCAATAGTCGTTGAAATAAGTGGATTGTCCGCGAAGGCTCTTCATTGTGGCCTTTATGAACTTTTCAATTTCTTCGTCGGTCCATGCTTTCTATAGACAAACCATGTAGCTTTAAATGTTACATGGTTATATTATACTAGATGACTAAACGAACCTCATACCGCCTTTCACTCACTCACTTTACCTCAAAATTAATTAGATACAAAAGCCACGAATAATTTATACAGAAAAAAACGTTTTACATTGCCAAAGTCAAATTATTAATGGGTTTATTCGATGGGACAGTGTACTAAAAAAGAAAAACCATGAAAATCTCCTCGTTCGTGAATTATACTATTTGCAATGTCTCTTATACTGGATAGATGCTTTCCATAACGTTACTCAGACTATATTGTAATTTTAAATTCAATAATGAAATAATTACATCTTCCGATCCGACTTTGGGATCCAACCATTTTCCCTCTAGTTTCGCCCATCGGTTTTCGGGACGGCACCTGTAATTTAGTTTATATGTTTTAAAGTTTAGTGAAGGCTGGCAAGAAAGTTTCTCTTACATTTGTACTAAACTCGACTCTGTTACCTTTACAGCTTAGTAGTTCCAGAAGTTAAAGAAAAAAAATGTTACAATAATTGCAATCGTGTAACTAAACCAACAAGACACCGAATATGATATTTTAAATGCTTTAAAACGCGATATATATTACTTAAACTTATTTAAAAATTATTTTAACTACGTCCCGGCGTTTCGGATGCATTGTAACAGCTGTTCTCACGGGGAGACGTTTAAGTTTTAAACCGTTAAAGTGTATCAAAATTTACTGGTAAATACAGACAGAATTTAGACTCCAGGTATAAAGTTGGGTCATAAACAAATAATATTCATGACGGCCTCATTGGTTTTAAAGTGAAAATGTATGTAGTAATCAACGAGTCGTGTATTCAATCCCCACCGTAGTACAAGTATTGCTAATCAAAACATATTTATACTAAAACATTTTCGTTTGTATCTCTGGATATTAAATGGATAGGAATATCGAAATTCCGTCCGGGTCTAAATATTTGGCTGGGTACTCCCCCTTCCATCAAGTGAATCTCGTGTTTGTCCTATATCATGAAACCTTAAAAACTTACATCTGTGTCTTCCTGATGGGATGTTGCCGATATTCATCGAAATATTCCGTTAAAAAAGACATTTTCACACTGCAATTTCCACCGTGTAGCGGTAATTTAAAAGCACGCTATAAAATTGATAAAATGTTGTTTTGACACATATATCAGAATAATTAGATGTTTATATAGAGTCTAATAAAAAAAGATTACAAATAATAGCAGATATACATAGAACACACAGATAATAACATTTTGGTTAAGGCAGTCAAAAGAAAATGGATTTGTTCAACATTGGTTGTACATTAACGACTGATGTTTCGTCTAATTTCGATTCTTTCATAAAGTCGAGCTTTCATGGCATTGCATGTTTTGCGATTCACAGGAGTCGTCAACGTTTTGGTAAGAATACTATGAATTGTCATTAAACTGTACGTGTTATTTATTGTATTGTTATATTAGGTGAGCTTTAACCATTTATAACGTGACATTACATTGTTTAAAATTTTATTTTCGTTTAAGTATGTTTATTACAGTACTTTTACCGTAATAATAGTTTAAGATAAATTACCTAAAATACTCTTTTTATACTAGACGTTTATTTTTGAAATAATAAAAAAGTACACGCATTGCATTTTCCACGATTAACGACCCCTGGCTTATAAAACTCATAAGCGAATCGTACATACAATTTTTATCGTCGGCCGCAGACTGCCGTGAGCGTGCGACGTAAATCCAAACGATATTTTTGGATATCACTAATTTGTCATGCTGCAGCATTCGAAGGTCATCATCGTGTACCGAAATCAATCCAAGGTTTACCACACATTGCCGCCGATTGATTTATTAGAAGCGGAATTATGGGCTTTTTAGGGTTCCGTACTCAGAGACGAAATAAGACAAAAGATTGTCTTAAAATTTTAGTCATATTAAAAATAAATCAATAATGAAAATATAAAAAAAAAATTACTGATAAATGTAATCATAGATGCCGTACAAGATTATTGTAACGGCATGAATGACTTGCTCTGGAGTCTGGGTTGATTTTAATTTTCTTAAAATATATTGAATTGCAATTATTGTTATAAAACACATAATAACACATCCCATTCATATTCAAATTACTTTATTATACTTTAAACGTACATATTTATATTTACGTGATATTCTCGTCAAATTCATCACTTTAGGGAAATAAATTCGCAACATTATGTGAACATTACATTAAATTTCTCTAAATACACTAACTTATCCTAACCTAAACTAAAGTATTTATGCAATGCAAACAATGATTTTGTCAAATTATTCGATGATTTAAACGCGAAGAAAAAACTTCTTTAACTTGATCTAACAAAATGATTTCATAAACTACCGAGCCGAAGATTGAACAAAAAGTCTGCGATATTTACACAATGCAAAGTTGTACTTTGAAAAAGTTATAAGACTATTCTTAGAACGAATTAAATGCACGACATGAAAATGTTATCCTTCCTAAACATCTTAATTCTAGCTAAAAATAATTAACTAACTTAGAAGGAGTCGAAACGAAGATTTCACAATTTATTATCGGACCAATAAAATCGATTAATTTGAAAATAAACACGGCTTTGACAAGTCCTTTGCGAAATCTTTGTCCAAGAACGTGAAATCAATACAACTTAGGGCTCTTTCAATTTGGTCGTTTCGTGTCGTGGCGTACGGTACAGGGTCATTAGTCTATCTTGACAGTGTGGCTACTGGGTTATGTGGTTGTATCAAAACAAATGCTTCAACGCAAAGACATCTAAATCGAAATAGACCTCAATGAAAACTTAGTTAAAGGTTTGAGCCAAAACACGTTTGAACTGACCAATATTTCTCGTACACATTTTAGATTTTTGATTGATTTACTTAATTTCTTATGTCCCCTAGTTGGGGACATTTTTTAACGATCATCGTACATCGCGTAAAGTTTCTGATCCTCCCAAACCCTCCTGATTGGAATCCACAACTAAACAATCCTGGCCGGTCTACAGTTGTGAACAAAGTGAACATTTTAAATACTAAATCATTTTTTAAGATTTTTCTCATATTGAAGATTCGCGTTCTATATTAGTGCTGTGTTGAATTATTATTTATGCATACCACTAGTTTGGTCATTTCGAGGCTTGATTTCAAGTTGCTATGATCACACCAATCTGGTTATTTATTCATACTCATAACATTTGTGTGTTTTTCACAACAGAAATAGTATTTAACAAACCAAGCCTCTTAGAAATCCCTTTTTGGAGAGAGCAGATAGAGCTAATGCAAAATATAGGGATACGTCTCTTCCACTATTAGACCCACATAGAAAGAGACGAGAGATATCTAAGTCTTTCTCATTACGTTACCGTTGCGAATCTGACACGCATAAAGTAACCATCTGTAAAAAATAAATCATCAATATTGCAGTATAGACGAAATATTTGAGCAAGGTCTTTCTTGGTTTCCAAAGTCCAAACACACGTTTTGAAGTAATTAATCTCATTATAATATGCTTTCTCGTGCCAAATACGCATCAGCACCGTAAACAAGAATTCCTAGACTAAACAGTATTCCGCCTGTAGCCCGCTCTCCCCTTTAGCCGAGATTAGAATCTAGCACGTATGTATACGGCAGCGACGTCGTGATTCGCATAACCGAGCCGTTTAGCGTGCTTGAAGATCTCGTTTGTAGTCGCTGTTAGTGGGAGAGACTGTTCCAGCGTGTCTCCCAGACCCAGAGCCAGTTTGAGGTCCTTTTGCATGTGACTGAGGGGCTGGTGCGTCGAGTAGGATGACTCGATCATCGCTGAAAAGTGAAAGATGAAATTTTAAGGAAAGTTTTAAATGGTTATAAGTAAGTAAGCATTGTCTTTAGTTTACGCAAGTAGAACACATTTAAATAAAACACTTCACGATTGAATTAAAAATATATAAGCTAACTTATATTTAATTAATTTTAACTATACCTCGACGTTTCAGGTACTAGGAGGGAGAAATAAATTAAAAAGAGGTTATAATATATTTCACATATTAATCCCTTAAAAGTTTTCATTTAAATTGTTATACCTTACTTTGTCTCTATCACATAACTACCATTACAAGTTTAACATATTTTACCTTTACAAGACTTTTATATGTTGCGACGGTCTTACCTCTGCCCTTCAGTATCAAGTGAGGTGAAGCCAACGGAGTAAGTGCGAGCACATCTAGAAGATCAGCCTGATTCAGTCCAGCGCGGTCAGCCAACGCCAGTCCTTCAGCTAGCGCCGCCAGGGACACCCCGCCGACTACTTGCAACACGGAGTTCATCTTAGACGCGTTGCCGATGTCACCTGGGAAGGGAGTGCGGTGAATTATCTTTTTATTATCAAAAGGGCACCGTAATTAATCCTTATGATATTCGAAATTAATAGGTTCTATCAACCAAGGTTTTATAGCAAAGATTTCCAACTTATCTAATGTATATGGTTAACTTTCTTATTTTGACTGCAACGTTTCGGATGATCTATAGCAACCAAGTTTACAGTATAATATAATGTAGAAGTTTATTTTTAATAACTACGAACTAATTTTAGATATGTAAATCTTATTTGTTATATTCTTTGTGTAACTAAATAATAACTGGACAAGCAAACTACTACCGAGGTAAAAGGAGTTCTTGCTCATCGCTTTGAAGCAAGACTGACAGTCGTCGAAGAGTGACCGATCTCCCGCCGCCAAGATGATCAGCGTGCCTTCCTCTGCTTGGGTTTTAGATCCTTGGATCTGGAAGATGTTTTGCCACAATTAGATTTTACGTTTTTCTCCGTCTTCGCTTATCTTCAAGAAAGAAGAAGAGATATCGAACCTGAGCTTCAAGATACCGTCCTCCTTTGCCGCTAATAGCTTCGACAATATCGTGGGAGGTGTCGGCATCTATTGTTGTCATTTCCACGTATCCTTTGCCTTCTAGGGTCGGACAGTGGAGCACTCCGCAATTTCCAAATACCATCTGAAATATAGAATAACTTGGTATAATTTTTGAAAGAAAACCCATTTAGAATTTAGTCGTACAAAGCCCGTAAACAGCTGGAGTCAAAATAAGAAATCCATGTGAGAAATAGGAAATCATCCATGTGACATTAAATATCAGAAAAGGTCTTTACTATAAAGAATTAATGTCAAAAAAGTACTGGTTTGACCTTTTAAGTACATATTTTTTTGAGTATTTAGTTTATTTAAACTTCCTAAGGCGATTAAACACTTACGTTAAACATTTTTATTAAGAAATCGTTATGTTTTATAATAACAAAGGCTGTTAAATGTTTTACTTACCTACATTCGAAACAGATTGTATGTATTGTAAAATTATAAAGTACCTCCTTAGCCGCCTGAGGATCAGCAACACAGGAGAAGGTTATATCCGCCTCCTCCACCACGTCACATGGGGTTACTGCTATGGTAGCTCCAACCTTTTCGAAGTCCTTGCACTGTGGACAAAAAATAATAATAAATGAAGCATCTTCATATTTTTATATTAATAACTCCAAAGAGGAACCGTATTCTTGTTCATATAGCATTGTACTGTGTAATAAATAATGTGTATTTAATTAATAATTCAAGTATAATTTTATTTTTCTAGTCAGTAAGCAGAGAAAATACAACGAATGTATTGCAACATTCCTGCCATCTATGAACAATTTGCTAAAAAAGCGTTTCCCATAAAACGGTAGAGATGTCGCTACAAGTTTTCACAGTACAAGGTGAATCGATAGCCGAGGCACGCCACGCACTCGTAAATGCCGCGTCAACGACCGCTATCCACGCGACGCCATTTTGATAACGGCGCTTCCCGCCACACACAGCGTCATGCTCAACTGAATATGGGGGCTACAGCACACATCTGCCTTTGATTTCATGTTTTCTCAACCCCTATGAATTCCTGAATTCCTAATATAGGTTACGTTATGACGTGGAAATTCCGATTGAGAGATAGGTATGGCATTTCGAGATGAATTAGGTTATATTCTTAGTTATACATTTCTCTCTGTGTTAAAATGCACATTACTTGGAACAATTAAAATTCTTTTATCTCGCCGTTATTCGTGTTCGACAAGAGAACAAATCGCCTCTTGACTTCAATACTCCTATCATCTTATCTCTTGAAATGTAAAAATAGCATGGATGTAATTATCTGCCAATTATTGTATTTTGAAGGCAGTGTTAAACGTATTTAACTTTCACTTATACCGAAATACTATACCATTTTGCATTATACACTCATAACAACGCTCGATGTTATCATTGTCTATACTCTATACGATTCATACAATTGCTGATAAATCAATACATGCAGTATAGACTTGTCTGTATTTTACATTCTTCCAATGATAGATTGTAATTGAACATATTATATAATACCGATTGTTATTTTACACGTTATATAAGCTACACTTTTCAGAGACGAGGCACAAAAGTTGACTAGATATGGAAATTAATCAGATCAATTCGATAACATACATCGTATTATTTATAACCAGAATCCACCTATATAAGTACCATATTATTATTATAACTATATGTACAGCAACAATGTCCTGTACAAATATACGATGTATAATAATTTTAGTATGACGATCTGTTATACCTATAAGTCTTGTATGTAATACGGAATACAAAAAGTGCAAGGCAACCGGTTCTTTAATTCATGTATGTTGCAATTGGCTTTTAGAACAGACAGAGGTCACAGCAGTCTTCATGACATTTTTAAAATGCTTTGCTATATACTATACACGTTTATATATCACTCAGCGATATGAGCAAGAATTTAAACATACTTAGCATTAAGATTAATTTACAAGTTTGAAGTAGACGGCCTTCGAAGTTCTAATGAAATGTAAATATTTAAATAAAACACTTTAACGGTTTTAAACACGATATATATTAGTTAACATTAGCAGTCGGGGTCAGCCTTGGTGTGGCAGCTGCGATGCATCCGTAACATCGGGCCGAATTAAAAATTATTTTCAAATAAGTTTAAATAATACATACCGCGTTTTAAACCGTTGGTGTTTTATTCAAATGTGTACTACTCACGTAAACTACAGACGGAAATGTGAATAATTAAAACTACTGTTTTAATGTCCTACATCCTAATCTAAGGGTAATTAAAAATTCTTTAAACATTGCTGTAAAAAGGTGGGCGGCAAAATATGCACTTTATTTTAAGTCTATCTAAATGGTCTCGCGTTTCTGAAGTTCAATGTTTCTAGGAAGACGTGTTCCAATCAGCAAATATTTACAGCACGATCAAAGTTTATTGATTAGGAGATCGCTATTAAATCTTGATGGCTTTGTCTGGTGAGAGAAAACTCAAGGTCGCTCAATGTTTGGTTAGACGCGGCTCGGTGTACTTACTTACTGAATTACGTAGTTATTAGTTACATAAGGATTCTAAAAGATCAAAAACACAACTAATGTGCGGGGACACTTAATTTTAGTGTCAAAAAATTATTAGCCTAAAGTGTAATTTATATAAGTACGAGATTACTCTTAGCCCGTGTATTTAATTTCCTCTCCAATTCACTGTCTACTTTAATAGCTACGTCACTGAAGAATATTTATTAGGAATCCATTATAGAAAGTTTGTATATAGATATAGATTAGGAACTTCCAACATGACGGGTTCCGTTATTGCTAGATTGAGTACTGACCTAACTTCGATTATTGTATTATTACTAGTAGGTGCAACTCACGAAGAGGGAAAATATTATAGAGTATTAGTTCAAAACACAGGCCTTTTACTTACGGCCGTTTCCCACGAAATGAAAAGTTCTTTAAAGATTTCTAATCCACACTTGTACTGAATTTAGTTAATATTACGTGATTTTATATTAATTGAAAAGTTGTTTTAATTCAGCGCAAATGTTTTTTGTGGCAGTGGTGGATAGAGGAGACAGCGGTTTCCAATGTGGAAGGTGAAAAGCTCTTAAAAATAAAAATGTTTGTTTGTCTGTTCGTCGTGATTCTACAGAGTGTCCAAAAGAGCAACATAGCCCAGAAGAATACATAAGAATCTGTACAGAAGAATTGGGATCTAATAGATTTAAAAACTTGTCAGAACTCGATGCCTTATTCATTAGTCAACTATACAAATATATTGTAAGGAATGGAATACCATTTGCTCCAAGTTGTACCCATTTCGGGGATGTAAAGTGACGTAAGGAGGTCTAAAGGTCGGCAAACTGCCTAATTCCAGCGGCGCCAAACACCTCGGCGCCCTTTACGAATCTTTTGTAGGAGTTGAGATGTTGATTCTTGTGCGAGATTAAAAAGACTTCTTGCAACGAAGTTGGAACATTTTTTTCTTATATCTTATCTTTGAATGTCTTTAACCAAATCATTTCTAAAACGTAATAATATTTTAATAAAAATACATCTATCAGTGACATAATGTTTCTAAGTTATATAACCTTTAAAACGTGAAACTATTATATTATTAAACAATCGTAGTGGCATAATTGGCTAACAGATAAATGTAATAGTATGCCTTAACTTGCAGCAGCCATGGTCAGGGGGGGGGGACTTCTTGCATGACATCGAAAAGTCGGATCGTTAAAATAAATTATGGATAAATTAAATAACGTATCTCTTCTGGTCTTATTTAAACCTGTACTACTCCCGTAAACGAAGACAAGTACACACGGCTTCTGCTAAGAATCCAAATGTCGGGCCGTCGTTATAATAAGTTAACTACTATATTGCGCGTTTTAAGCCGTTATAAGCGTTTTATTTAAACTACAGACAATGCTTAATATCTAAATCATTGTTAACGTTTTGTTAAGTAAATCATTTAAATTTTATATATTTATTTTACTTTAGACTGCTAATTACACAAATGATATAATATATTTGCTGCAAGATATATATGTATAGGTTATGTCTAAGCTTAAGTCATAACATTTTCTTGAGATCAGAACTGCATAATGACTCTGCTCATTGTACGTACAATTGTAGGCCAACGTGGACCCCCTTTCACCTCGCAAACAATGAATCTGCGGACCTCCCACCGAGATATTGTATTGCAGATATGATCTAGTAGCTAATCTAAGAAATTGCTTGGGTGGTATAATAATGCTCAAAAGCTGTGCGCGATGCGAAAGCGAAATATAAAACGGATCCATATGAACCCTAATGTTAAGTAGTTAAAAACAATGTGTCTTTATTTTTTTAGGTAGGATTCGAATACACTACCTACCAATTGAGCTACCATTTTTCGTTTGTCATCTGTTTTCCATTTTCAACTTCAAAGGAACAAAAATTAAATCATATCGCGTTTTAAACCGTTCAATTGTTTTATTTAAATGTGCACTACTCATGTAAACTACAGACAGTATTTTATGTTAAGTTGTTTCAAAATAATTGCGAAATATTGTTTCGGCCCCGTCGTCGAAATATTATTTAAACAACCTGAATTAAATAATATTTACAGACGACGCAAGGACGAACGAAACATTTTACGCACTTACTTAATCTTGTTATTCAACATCAAAAGAAAACTGAACAAAAAATATAATTTACCTCAGCCATAGCTTCAATTAATTCGCTAGTAATATCGTCAGGAGTCACGTGACACGTACAAATTGACAGCCAGCCGTGTCGTCGACTTTTAATATTTTGCGATCTCGGTATCTTTGTACGCAACTAATGGACTTAAATCATAAATGCTTATTTCTAACGAGAATATTCTAGTACTACCTGATTGAAACCGTACAAAAACATTTTTTAATTTATATTTTTCGAAACGTCTTAACTTCGTCGGGAACTCTTTCGAACCACCATCCATAGAATGAAAATGCCGAGCCAAAATAGATTGGACAGCGAATCGTGTTTAGATTTTACATGGCTGAGGAATTCCATTTCTATTAAGTGAACCATGATCGTCTATCCCTCTCGATCATAAAAAAAGTATCATAATATTATTTTGATATATAACGACATCGTCTCTTGATATTTAAAAATATTTTTTTTGCTTATGCCTACGTATTAAGGACCAGTCCCTAACCGAACCGCTATTGAACTCAACACCTATCGTCTTTAACGCAATGTTATAAGTCACGGAGAGTTATAATGCGGCAGTTGCAAATAGGTAAAAAAATATTTTAAAAGAAGAAAAATACTCTCAACTTCGGAGAATAAACCTAAAGCGACCGGTCAATCGCCAAGTTGAAATGTATTCTAGGCTCTAGCACTATTCAGTATCACAATGGCCTAAAATAGGGCGGCCGAATATTAAAAGTGGGTCATATCATACAAAACTCACGTTCGATATTGCGTCGAGACGTAGTGTCAATGAGTGACTGGACATATACTAATATTACAAAGCTGAAGAGTTTGTTTGTTTCGAAATGAAAAATCCATTTTATGTTATATGGAATATTTGTGGACATAGCCTTAAGGCACCATGCTGTGACTAGAAGTGAAAGAAACAGAAGCAAATGTGGAAAGAACGGGGAAAATTAATAATATTTGATTCGTTAGGTGCGCTTCAAAAACGATTCAAGACACGCAAAAAATATGTGTAAAAGAATGATTCCTCTTTAAATGATCTAAAAAAAAGATTAACTTGCAAGAACGATGGGATGCGACCGACGTTGTGGGTAACCGCTATAATTCTGAAAGGTCGGGAGGTTTGCAAAAACATTTGGATGCCCATAACAACTATTCTACGCAGACGAAGTCACTGACACAGCTTGTTTATAATAAGCAACGTTATATTAGGCTCTAATAGTAAACATTATACAATAGCATAAAGCAAGTGAGTAATATATATACACAACACAATATTCTGTGCTATGATCTACATGCTATTAAATTATGGCAGTCTGAAAAGAGCTTTAATCTTCAGCACTAAGCGGATAATGTTGCGGATAGTGACGCATTCTCTTGTCACGACTGCGCAGAGCATCGTAAATACATAACCTGTGCTAATCTCTTATTTTTTTTTTTCTCATAATTACATTACAATTATTATAGACGTTGCATAATGTTAAACGAATTCAATTAAGCTGAGTTAAGCCCTAGAAGGGACTAAACAATGTTATAAAGATTTCATTTCAAACTGGTGAATTAAGAATCTATTTGGATGAAAAAAAATCGACGACACGGGCGGGACTTTATCGGGCATCTACACTAAACGCTCCAATACGAAACGAAAAAATATTAAGCGTACTGAATTTTTCAATTATAAAAATTGTTAGACTAGAGATTATATTTGTATATCAGATCTAAAGTATGTTCCGTTAACTTAATTTTTCTTGTGACAGACAAGGATTCAATTGATCAGGAGTCGACCTGTATTCGAGTATGTTTCATTTTTTTTATTGACTTGAGAAACATTAGACACGGTGAGAAACGAACTCACGACTCCATGATTATTATTAGCCCTGCTAACCACTCAATCAACAAACCCGTCTAAAATCAATCAAAACAATAATATTCAATTATCTCAAGTCACTTTTAAGATATTTTAATAAGAGAAATAAATTTGCTAAAATAAATATTTAGCTTTGCTATCTTATTTATTTTGTGCGCTAACCCAGATTGCACAGACGATACGGAGGATTTAATTTCTTACACAGATAAGATAATTAATCGGCTATTATGAATCAAGACGAATCACCTAATGTTGGCGTGGCTATTCGTTTGTAACGAAACCATGTTGATATCGAGCCAAACGCGGGTCGAAAGCGTCATTTCCGCTCCGAAACGCTAGTCTGGAATTAAAAATTGAACGATAATATCGTTATGCGATATCCAACGTATGACGCTAAGTTTGACAATTAACACCTTTTAAGTATTGAGTTGAAAGGAATTAGTTTAACATATTATAAAAATTAGAGTGTTGAGAGTTTTATTTATTTCGTGAATGTAGTTTTTTTTAATTTTACATTGTTGCTGGTTCCATCTAAAATCGATTTTTAATTTATCTCGTCAATGCATATTAAATATTTAAAGATAGTTTATTTCTAATATTTCATTGCTAAATAATCGATTTCAATCGAATAATAAATCAATTTTTAAATTCGTCATATGACTACTATCATAATCTATCAAAAATATCATCCTATATTGAACGAAGTATAGTAAACTAATCGCTGGATTTCATAGTGAAACTCCAACGCTATAGGCGTTTATTGCTCCTCCAATCATTGGCATAATTAATTCTATTATAAACATTATCAAAGAGAACGTCATCGAAACAATGAACATGCTATGTGTAACTATAGAATAGAATAATACACAAATGTTCGTGCATAATGTATTGAATACAGGTATTATGATGGTATAAATAGTGTAATCCATTTGAATACTACACAAGGTTTCGTATAATGTGAATAACAACCATGGAGTTAATTTGATGGAAGCTCAAATGCGCTGTCGTCCTTTTTTGTATTTAAACCTCTTTACTAAGTTACGTATTACCATATTTTTTGAATGGACTACATTAATACTGTAAAATAGTTAATTTAAATTATTCTAATGATCTTTTTTCGAAGATTCATCTTAGAGGACGAAGCACAGTATATAATGAGGCTCAATACGCTACGTAGTAGTAGTTAATAATTCGTAAAAATAAAATACTGTAAAATAAATCAACTACACAATAGGTATATAGTAATCAATCTATAATAGCTGCGATAGCAAAATATTATTGTATCAATCACAACCGTTTATCCGTACATCGATAATAAAGATCCAAGTGGAAATTTTTCTGTTTACAAGATAATGACTTCTCAACTCACGTGTTCGTAAAGCAAATTAATGACCGATTAGTTTTAAAATTCTGATTTTATCTCTTTAAGTATATAAAATTTTTTTTGTAGAATCCTATCTGATCAATGGAAAATAACCACTCGCACAACATAATACAGGAATTTTGAGGGGCAATTTAAAAAAAAGTGATATATAAGCCTACATCGACTATCTTTATAACAAGTCTGATGTCATTGCCATTGTTGTTATTTTCTGCGGATTGCCTCCCCTAACGGCACAATAAAAAATGAATAGCTATGAATAAAGAATAATGCAGTGAAATTGCTGTACCTTAGTAGATTTCGTAACGTAACTTGGCTACAGCAAACACTCTCAATCATAGGAGGAAGAAATACTGCGGTTATGCACGCTAGCACCATTAGTATGGGATACCATCTACAATGGAATTTATAAACAGTGAAATATCAATGAAAAAAGCATTGCGTTTAGTGTCTGTACTTTATGCGAATAGAACACATTTAAAGGCACTGATAATAACAATCAACCAGTGACCATAGCTGCTCCAAAGCACCCAAAACGTTGGAGCATATCTATATAGTAGCTAGCTTATAAAACAGGAGCTATTTAGGCTTTAAAAAAATAAGGATGTCCTGTCCAGAAAATAATATAATTAACTAGCTAGTAATTACGTACACGATTGGAGATAAAGTGACTTAGGTATTTAAAAAAAAAGAACATCCAGGACCATTCAGTTTTGGAAGTAGCAGTTGTTGTCAACTTCGCGGAGAGTACGGTAAGCACACGGTCTCAGGTACCATTCCCAATATGCTGGCGGTAGTCTTTGAAGACGCTCTCTCCTACAAGAGAGGCGACCGGTGCCAGTCGTGGGACAAAACCGGTAGAAACAAACGCAATGCAAATATCTTCGTAAAAAAATATATGTATAGGCTTGTTTTCGTATTTAATTAGTGCATGTACGTGTCTATCTCATTATTACTGTTAATGCAGGATAATACCACAAGTAAAATACACGAATAATAAGATTTCTTTCCTGCTTTGCAACAGGAACGTATGTTTTAAAGTAATTAACAACGCCTTGTTATGTATAATTGATGTACGATGATGAGGATCAATTATAAATTGCGTTTTCATCCGTTTATTGTGATCTTAAAATTACAATATACATATTTCTAAAAAGGAAATGTACAAGTTGGATGTGTATTTAAAAAGTTAGATACTAATTAGAAACACTTTTCCTTTAACTGTTGCGATGTGAATTTATAGTATGAAGGAACTAGTGAATATAAGGGATAGACCGCAGTAAAGTATTAGTCAGGCTCGTCCAAATATGCCCTCACTGACGTCAGACACCATGCGAACGACGTCCGTTACTTAACAAAGGCGTCTGAACCGCACCAGTGACGTACGCTCGAAAAACCGCTTTCAGGGCAATCCACTATCTCCATTTCGACGAGTCAAAACAGTGTCGTGACAACAGTGGAATAAATTAAGTTCAAACGTCGTCGGGGCGTCGAACCCAAACATTGGGTCGTTTTTATTACTTATCAATTGCTCCTATTTATTTAAAACATTCGCAGAATATATTAGCCACCCACATTAAAGTCACAAACATTAGTTGATTTTTCATTAATGGCCAGCCAGTTCTATTTAGTAATCACTACACAATAAGTGAAAAGGTTAAAGCATTACATTTGAGGTTGTGAATTATGAATTCACAAAATGGAAATTTCTATTAGAAATCTTATTTATTGCAACACTATTTTCATTGGAGACAAGTTGGCTTTCATTGACGC